TGTTGCTGCTGTTGTTGCAGTTGCTTGGCAAAGTACGCATTGGCAAGTGGGTTGAGGTGTTCACGTCGCTCAGCGTGCCCACCGTTAGCAATACTAGCACCATTGGCGCCATTGCTAAACGGGTAGCCGGCATAGTTGCTATTCTTGTCATAGTTACGGCCATAGTAATCCTCTTGTTTGCTGCTGCTGCTGCTGCTGCTGTGGTGTCCATTGTGCTTGCTGCTGTGTTTGCTGCTGTGGTGGTGATGATGTCGCACTTTGCCGCTTGTGGGCGGTTCGTTGTAACTGCGCGGTAGCGATTTCGAACGTCCATTGCTTTGGTAATCATTTGTCGTGCCGCCGTTCATATGCTGATAACCATTGCTAATGAGCCCATTGCTGCTCATCAGCTGTTGCTCTTCCTCCAGCACCTGATCGAGATTTTGCGTGGAGCTGCTTAGTCCGTTACGTTCGCTGCGATCACGATGTCGACGCTCCGATTCGCGCTTCACAATGCGCACCGTTTTGATCTCCTGTTTCTCTTGGTTAGTCAGATTGGCAAACGGATTGGAGTCGAGAAAGCCATCGCTGTCCACGCCGCTCGTCTCCAAATTATCGCTGGCGTCATTGTAACGGTATGAGCCAGCGCTAACGCCAGCGCCAGCCATCAAACGTTGCAGCTCATCGCCATTATTGAAGTCACTGAGTTTCGTGTCCACGTAAAGCGGCGTTGAGAGATTGAGCGTGGAGTCATCGCTCAGTGTGTGCGAGATGCTATGCATCGAATCCAGATCAGTTTCTTGCCACGAAGCTGAGTTTGTACGTTTCTTCTGTGATATGTCTAATGGCAAACCGTTAGCGATGTTCTCTTTATTGCCAATCTCCTGATAGAGGCGATTCGAATTCTCCGTTAATTGACGCACAGCCGAGCTTAACTCTTGTCTCTGTCGTTGCATGTCACCTACGAGTGTTTGTACACGTTTCAGCTCGGACTCCAACATGGCGGTCGTGTTGCTAGCAAAGCTATCTGTGCCGCCAACGCCATTTGTGAGTGCTCCTTGTGAACCACGTGCGCCGCGCGAAGCCTGCAGTTTCTGTCGCAACACAATTAGTTCCTGTTCAAGGCGAGCATTGCCTGCTACGGTTTGTTCTAATTTCTATTTGCATAAAAATTCGTAAAGAAGTAATTGATGATGTTAGTAAAAATAAAGTTGTGTAGAGTTTGTTTGGCATGCTGTTATAACATTTAAAGCACGAAAGCCAGCGTTGGTATGGTTTGTTTAGTGAATTGGCGCTTTAGATGTTAAGCCGTCTGCATTTTTGTTTTCGTTTAAGCTTCTAAAAATTTATTCTGTCGCTCCGAAATTTTATGTGGTTATTTCCGGCATTCCCTAATTCACTGCCTAAGAGACATTACTATGATAAAGGTTTCTCTAATCGCTCCCTTATAATTGCAATCATTAGCATTATCATCTAAGTTGTCGTTAATGTCATCCAACGAAAGGCTCAAGAAATGTGCTGATTCGACGGAGACGGACCAAAGGGAGAGGGGTGTCAGATAAGTGGGGTTGGTGGGGCATGCAAAGAGATGGTAAGAGTCATACGGAGACTTATTGCACACATAACGTATGTATAGTGGATGTATGGGGGTCTATTCTGGATAGCATACGGGCCTCAATATGCAAGTGTCTCTATTCATCCGAAGTGTAACAGTTTCAGTGAACCTAATCTACGTTTACTAGGATCAGATGAGAAGCCGTGAGAAAGATTTTAATGAGAGATGAATATTTTTGTTTTATCAGACGGTTTTTTCTCAGGTTGAGTATATTCAGACTGACTAAAAAATATCGATGTGCTCTGTTGTCTGAGATCTGTTTCCTTGTTTGTACTGTTGCTGTGTAGTACTAGCAGACAAATAAAGTAAATACTCAAACGCACTCACCAGAAATACTTCGTTTCTAGACGTCATTTGGGACAAAGGAGATAATATAGAAGAAACGCTCTCCTAATATTAGTTAAGAAGGTAAGAATTATTTTCAAAAGTGGTTTCGTTTTGGGAGCCTGACATAGCGGAATTGCAGGAATATGCAAGGCTGGTGAACTTGCTACATCAGGTACCTCTATCTCACTATTTGGAGCATGGCAATGAATAGGAGCGACCTTGACAAATGCTGGCCAGCTACTTATAAGTGAGTCATAAAAGGTCTAGTGGGACCTTCGCCTTCAGAAGATTTCGTCTGAATACTGCCCGAACTGGATTCATGTGCTAAGATTAAAAATGCTGGTCAGCTACTTGCAACCGAGCGACTGCAATGTCCTTTCAGTCCAAAAAGAGTCGCAAAAGGTCTAGTGAGATCCTCGTCCTCACCAGAGTTCACATACACATTGCCGGTTGGGATTCATGTGGAAAAGTAAACAATTTTGCCGCATGTCAGTTACACAAGCTACTTGGAAGAGGACGAAATAAAATTATCTCATAACTTTCTTTTCGAATGTGCCGTATTTTCTAGAGCAAGGCTGAAATATCAGAAAAAAATAAGAGGAATAGAAATAAAGAACCTAAGCAGATTTGTGGAGGGTTCAGCAGCTTCTATCGGGTCTCACAAAGCAACGCACTTAGCTGGCTAGGTGTGATTGCCGCATCATCTCGGGTATTCTGCAATCTATCGTAACTTTTTATTTGAAGAAAAAATCATATAATTATTTAGTAAAAGGCAGTAAGCATGCAAAATAGATTCATTACCTACTTATAAAACTAAACTATGCCTGACCTTAATCAGGACTGTCAATTTAAAGCAATCAAGCGTGTGTGTTAGTACTCGTAAAGATATATACTATATGTATTTTTGTTGGTTTTCAAATTTCGAATTAGATTAGTCACATAGTTTTTAGAAAGCAATAGCAAGTCAAAACGCGAAGGCGACTAGATTTGCACATTTGCTCAGCAAATCACTATCAATAACACACAAACAAAAATAACAGACGACAAAACTTCTATACTAGGCACCTCGACTACCTTTGAGTTCTCGGCCAACAGTTGATGTACACGCGACAGCTCACGCTCGAGCATGTGCTGTTGCTTTTTGGCCGCCTCGAGCGCCATCGGCGGACCCGAAGTGTCCTGTATGCGTGCGCGCAAGCCGCCCAAAGCGCGTTCCAACTCCTCCTTGTCACGCTGTAAGTTTTGCAGTGTGCCAGATTCCTCTTGCAACAGCTGATCGAGTTGATAGAGTTGATGCACCTTTGACTGGAGGAGTGAGAGAGACAGAAAGTGTATGTAGAGTTGGTGTAATTGCAGAGAAAAATTGAGATGTAAACAGTGAGATATTGTAAGGGGAGCATGTATAAAGTAGCAAGTTGAAAGAGCGGGAGAATGAAAGAGACAAATTTAAAAAGTCAACAAATTGAGCGAGAGCAATGTGAAAATTATTTATTTATATAAATTAATAAATTTATTTTATTTTAAAATATATTTAAAATTATATAAAATATACACTCACCTGCAGCTCGCTGTGATTGGGACTGAGCCGATCCCACTGCTTTTGCTCCTCCAGCAAGAGGCGTCGTTCCTGCATGCGCTGATTAAATTCGAGACGATCCAATGTCACAGCTTCGTTGCGTTGCGGCTGACGGCCGTTGATATCGTTGTTGCGATAGAGTGAGCCCAACTTCACCATATTGTCGACCAAGTTGACCAGCGGTTTGCTCTTCTCATACTGGCGCTCCAGATCGAGCAGATGTTGCTTCAGGTAGTCCAGGCGCTGTATGCTTTCGGCGCGTGTCAGACCCTCAGCAGTGCGTAGACGATTCTAACGGCGGTTGGGGAGAGGAAAATGCACATATTTGTTAGTCCAAAACATAAAAAATATTGCAAGGGTATAAGTGAATGTTAGAGATCATGTGGTTAAATGACCGCCACCGGGTATTGAGTTATGCAAACTATTTCAACTGCTATGCTATAAGTTAACAACCTGCACTTCATGTATATCGCTGCAACATTGCTCGATGGCGCGCGCTGTATTGCTGCTCTGGCGCCTCAACTGTATCAGCAGCAGCACCAGCTCCTCGTGTGTGCGGCTCAGCAAATCGCCGGCGGAAACGTCCAGATTCTAAGCGTCAAGCGTCGGGCGGTTGGAGGTGCGCAAATTACGCAAGCAGCCAGGAAAGTGGCGTTTTTTAATTTTCAAGCATTTCAATAACAAAATAATGCGGCGCATAAAAATAAACGAAAATAAAATTACCAAAAATCAAAAACTTTGCACATTAGTAAATAATAAAAAAGAAAATGCTAAAGAAAAGACAATGCAAAAACGCAAAAATACAAGAGTCAAACAATATTAATGAAATCAAGGGCAAAGGCGTGGCGGAGCGGAGCGCAGGCGGCAAATCAATAAATTGCTTCTGTTCATTTTAAATTGAATTTCGCGCAATGGCGCGCGCACACTTACTTACTTGCAGCCAATATTTCACATTTTAAATTGAAATAATTGTTGCTATTGTTTGTGTTCTACTTTGACTTGGTCGCGCTGCCACGCGCGTTTATCAGCGTAAACCAATATATGTTTGTATGTGTGTGTGTGCATGAATTTTCGGTGTTTGGTGAGCACACTAACACAAAGCGACACTATATTTCATTCACTATATTGACAAACACAACCGCCCAAAAATACATATTATATATGTGCCTCCCGCAGTACTCACCCGCATCTGTGTGCTCGTCTCACGTTCCAGCATATCGATTTCGGCACGGCTATCCACGCGCCGCATGGGATACGCCGCTTGCTGTTGAGTATGCTGCTCTTGCCACAATGTGGGGCCCGTGGCACCTCCTACACCGCCATAATAGTCGCCGCCGTTGGTGCTGGGATGCAGTGGCGTCGACGCGGCCAAGATGCTGTTGCCACCTGCTATGAGCCCGTTGCTGCCGTAAACGCCACCAACACCACCACCACCACCCAGGCCAACAAAGCCACCGCGTTGATCCGTGAGTGTTGTTGTCTTCGCGTACTTCGTGTCGTGCGCCGTGCCGTAGTAGGAGTTCGTTAGTGTGCCCAGCGTTGGATCGTAAGTGCCCTGCGCTAAGTGTTGTTGTTGTTGTAGTTGCTGCTGCTGTTGCTGTAGCGGATTGTGTGCATCCGAGGGATCTGGTTTAACGGTAAGATTGCCTTTGGGTAAATTGCGTACATTCCGCACTGAAATTGACGCTGCTGATGGTGGCGCACGTAGCGTTTGCATTCGTAGTTATGTACGAGTTACATGTATATGCGTGTGTTTGTATATATATGTGTGTATGTGTGTGGAAGAGAAGAGCAAAGAGAAAAAAGACAAAATGACAAATTGCAAGTGCCAAAGTTTTAATTCTCAAACCAATATAGAGGCAGTAAAGAGAGCTGAAGAGCTCGATAGTTGCAGAGCTGATTATAGGGATAGTGAGGCATAGTGTAGTAAGGAAAAGCGCAATGTAGTTGTAGTAAAGTGATAGAGTGAGGGAGTTAGGAGCTAATGCGAAGGAATGCCTGAGAGACGCTGAACTATTAATAACTTTTTGAAGGTTTGCTGGTGGTGTGAAGAGCTGGGAGTAAGAAGCACTACAATGATAATTACTAGCTGTTGTGCCATAAAAAAATATATACAGTTATGCAGACAAATGGATATTATTTTTATTTGTTTTTTTTTTTAGCTTTTTTCGAAAATATGTTGCGAACAGAGTTTATTTCTAACGATGTTTTATATATTGAAATGAGAATTGAAGCAATATTAAGGCAGTTTATGTTTGTCGCGAGAAATTTAAGAGAGCATGTGAGCTTGCAAATTTTAATCAACAGTTTGAAATAAATGAGATTTCTAGCTAGAGAGGTAAAATGATTAGTTCATTACATTATAGCTACAAGGCTGTAACATGCTTAACAGTTCTGTTAATACTCTGTAGTATTGCACATAACTTATAAGCTGTGATATTTTCTTAACATTTTGAATGAAAATGAAGCGTTTTATAATTTTCCTCATGCCAAAATGTTATAACACTTTATAAAACAAAAAAAATTTATTTTTATAGTCTAACGGCTGTGATATTCGGAATTTTTTTGCTTTTAACTTAAAAAAAACTGTGGAACTCAGTTCCAATCATCAAAAATATTGAAAATATGTATTAAATATTTTTAAAAATATTTAGCTGAAGTCGTATATTTCAAAACGCGAAAATAGTTGGTGTCGTCAAAACTTTAAAATATGTACTTTTGAGTATTAAAAAAATAAAGTAATTATAATTTCATATTAGTATGAAAAAGTTAATTAATATATGAAACAATTTCTTTTTGTACCTAATCAAATTTGGGGATGCCAGTTTCAGTCATTAAAAATATTGAATATTGTTTCTAAATATTAGGTATTAATAAAAGATTTTTGAAAAAATAATCTAAAAATCTTTACAATTTTCTTCAAAATATTGCTATGGTGTGTTTTTCATCTGTAAGGATTAGATCACCTTCACCTTCCTACTTATTATACGCATTTTTACGCTCCCTTATTATTAGTCACAATTTTTTGGGTACTTATTAATGAAAATTTAGCTTTATTAAAAAAAAAAAAGTTATCAGTAGGTCCTCTAAAACTCATATCGTTAACAAAATGACTGTATTTGAAGGCGAGTAAAAGAAAGAGAAAGCGAAACATACTTCCGCAGGCTTGTACGCTGTCCTTGAGACCCTCCACGTAAAAAAAAAACACCTCTAATGTAAAGAAGAAAACAGATTCGGATGAGCGACCCCATTTTAAAATAATAATAATATTTAACGATAATAGACATTGATAACTTTTCTAGTGTATACATTAAACTTTTCAACGAACATTTTTTTTCTGAATCGCTCATCATTCAATTTTTGAGTCTTTGTCAAAATTAATAAGTAATTATGATATCCTTTGAGTTGGTTTAGCATTCTTATAAAATTTTGAAAGTTTTTAGCTGAAAACTTGTATTCAAAAAACCGATAAATTTTGGTTTTGCCTGTAATTTTTATGTGGCACAGCTTTCTTAGAACCAATTGCTGAACGAAAGTGAGGTTAATTTATCCGACGGGAAGAGCCTGAATGATTGTCTTTATATTGTGAAACTTTTTTTTAATTTAATTTTTTATACCATAAACACGGTTAATATGAATAACATAATGAAAAATTAAAAAAAATTGTTTTTGAAGACTGAAGATCTTTCGTTATAACTGGGGTACGAAATACTATTAGGGGATTCACAAGTTGTCACTACGCATCCTAAAGTCATGATTTTATGATTTTTCCACTGGTTTAAAAAAATTTTTGTTGGATTACAAAATAAGCAGTAAAAAAAGTGAAATAAAAATAAAAGTACATTTTGGGGTCAAATCTGACAGAAAGATGCTTTTTTTTTTCAAAGCGCTAGTTACATATGGAAGCAGTTCTTAATCTCTAACAAATGAATAACTATTAAATTACCCAAGTAGCCGCGGCAATCAGCTTACTTGTTTTCAAATTTCCATATATTTCATATAAAAAGTATATATTAGCTAACCATAAATAAAGTTATCGAGTTGCATTCGTACTGTAGAAAAATGGTGGGAATATTAACTCCGGCTAACAGATCGAAAAGATTGCAGGAAATGTTTAAAGCCGGCACCAGTGAAACAACGAAGTATCTCTTGTACACTTGTGCCGCATTTGCAAGACTGCGGTCGCCATGGTATGATACACTGGAGGAGGTATCGATAGTGAGGCCACAGAGTCAGTAAAAAATTGGCGTCAAGCGCAGGTATCTTAAATGATGCCTACTCCTCTTGGACTGAGCAAACTGAACTCTATCTTGTGTCGTAATGGACCAAAACTGGTGAATGCTTGGCTCATTGGCCTACCAGATTAACCTAACCTAACCATTACAGTCAGACAGTCATTATAAGTAATTATTTTTCATAAAATTAATATTTCGGCAGTTTCTGTTATTTAGAGGCAAGAAAAGATCAGCAGAGCTATTTTCTATTATTAATTAATTTTTTCAAAACTTCAATTTTACTCTAATCCTTTTAAATATGTATATTAATTTAGAAAGTTAGAAGCAATTCTTAGTTTCTGTAGCAACTTAATCATATTTTTAAAGTAAAAAATGTTTATTTGGTTTTTTAATGAAAAGCTTCAATTATCTGCCTTAGCAACTAAAGCAGTATTTTTGAACTTTAAAAAAATTTTTTTTTTATGAAAAACTTCAATCAACTCCAACGATTATCAATCAGTTCACGCCGTTTTAATTCATAATTCTAAAATATGCACTAACAGTATAAGTATAGCCAGCCATCATATAATTTAGCAAAAACATTACAAATTTACATGTTTACATTTACATAGATAAAAAAAAAAAACGGTAAAAAATTACATACAAATTGCAAACTCGGGAAGTGTTAAGGACTTTTTACACAAAATTTACAATTTTTACACAACAACATTAGACTATTTATACAAATAATTAATAATTTTTGCAGTCAGACAACTTAACTATGCACACTTCCGTTAGGTGGCAGACTGAAGAGCACTTGCAAGTGTTAATTTGTGGTAGTAAATACATATATATGCATGTGAGTGTGTATATAACTAGAGTTGCTGTGTTAATTAGCGATTGGGCCAAAACTAAAACGTGTTTTTAAAAATTACACTAGATTAAATATTAATTGCGGAAATTTAAAATAATAGCCAGGAAGCTTTTGAAAATATAAATTTACTGTTAATTTTAAAGAAAGAGCAGTGAAGCGGAGCAGTAAGTATACGTAATTATAGTATTGTAAGAAAAAATATAGTTGCTTACCATTTTATTTGCATTGCATTTTTTTCTTAACTATTTTTATATATTTTTCAATATTTGTTTACCATTAGAGTTAAATTGTTCATAGCGACAATAACAACAACAGTCAACAAAGTCATAACAATCAACGCCAATTGATAGACAACAAATATGCGCGTCGTTGTAAGTGTGTGTGTACATATCGCGGTCTCGCGTTATTCGCTTGAAGTGTGTGTGTGTGTGTCTGAATAGTTGCGCTAGTCTGTCTCACTGTCTAGTCGCTGTTTTACAGCATTTTTGCATATATATTTAACAACTTTGTATTTACATATATATTTGTTGTTGTAGTCTGGGCATTTCGTGGCTATAGGTGTGTGCGTGTGTGCAAAATTTCGTGCAAATTCAATCAATTTATACTCATATCTACATGCACATACATAAACTACATAAAAGCATGCTTTTAAGCGCACATAGAGCACGCGGCGCCTTTGTGTATGCCACGTTTGCGCTTACACAGATGTTTGTGTGAGCATCTGCGCGCGTTTCTGTGTGTTGGTTTATTTTCTAATTTGTATGCGGCGCGCTGGGGTTTCAACAAGCGTCTAATGTTGCGCGCGGTGTTTAAATTCGATGACAATCGGTGTAGTTAAGGTTTTGCCGACAGAGCTGATACAATGAGCGGCTTTGTATTGGTATATTTATATGTTATTTTTGTTGTTGTTGTGTTTGCTACCTTTCTTATGGTTGCATGCACATTGTGCGTTGTTTGAATAGAAATTCACAACAACATTTAACGGTTTTTGTTTTATATAAAAAGTGTCATCATTTATATGTGGTCTCGCGCGGCCAGTCAGCGCGCAGCAACTGTTGCGCCTAACTAGCACAGGTGATTTTGCTAATTGTTTGTATTTATTTTATTTTATTTACTTTCTTTACTTTACACTTAGTTGCATTTATCGGATATGCTATTATTTTGCGGATTTGTACATTTTTCAGCGTTTTTATTCCGCATCGGTTGTGCAGGGCGTATGCGCAACATTGTCATTGTCATCACAGCTCACATTCAATTGCTCCATAATGGCGCGCACTGTGCTACCCACACTTGTGAGACTCTCACTGCCGCAGGGATTGTCATTTTCCGAGTTGCTATTGCTGCCCGAATGCTTCATTAGGCCGCTGGACATGGAGTCCCATTGGCGTATCGTCTCGCGATCGATCTCCACCGATTTGTGCGACAGGTTTGAGCCGCTGTCCGTGCGCAACACCTCATACACATCCGAACTGTGACCGTCGTCTGTCATATGTTCTTGCAGCTGCACGTATACATCATTCTCATTGAGGCGATCCTCGTCGGTAGCGCGTGCATGCCGCGCATGGTGTGGCGTAAGCGGTTCGCTCAGGCGCGGCTTGTACGTGGCGCGCACCTGCTGTGACACAGTATCGTTTACGTAGGTAACATCACGTGTGATTTTCGCTTTGTGTGCGGTGCGTTCGTCGCCATGCAGTTCACGTCTCATGAGCGCCGTCGGGCTGGGCGCTAGCCGATCGAGGTTGTCTAGCGAACGCGCATGGCGTTGTGAGACGCGTCGCAAGCTTTCGCGCCACAGCGTGTCTTCCTCCCATAGCAGCTCACCGGTTATGGGTGTGCCTAGAACGGAGAATTTCTGTGCGTTATTTGTGTTCGTGCCAGCGACGGCGTGTGCCGTTTTAGTATTAGTGTTAGTGGAGGTGCGGCCTCCGTGTGGAGACGCTGCTACATCACTACCTTCACCGACAACAATATGATTTGAATGACCCAGTGCTCCCAAACCGATGATGTTACTGTGTCCCAGTTGTTGTTGTTGCATATTTGTGATTTTCGCCGAACTACCAACACTGCCGCTACCGCCAACCCTAGCGCTGCGGCCAGCGGTATAAGTCTGATAAGGAGAATGATGAGTTTGTGGTGACGCGGATGGTGTGTGCGTGACGGCTGTGGGATATGCATTGGTGCCCGTTATTTCAGTATGTACATGTTGTAGGTTAGTCTGTTGAAAGTTGCTCATTTTGGTGGTTTGCGCGTAACGTCGCTGATAATCACTGGCTGTTGCCAACGAAGAAGTCGCTGTGTTGGCGGCTGCTAGCGCTGCAGCAGCAGTCTCGCTGGCATTTAGTATTTTGCCCGAGCGGTAGCTCAGCTTTTCCACATTCGTCTTCATTTTATATAAATTTTTACTGTCGATCGCCTGATCCTTGTCGGCCAACAGATCCACATTTATGTTTGAAATGACGCGCCCATGGCCATCGATGGGATTGTGTATGTGCGTTATATTCGAGCCATGCGCGTGTACATCGCGCTGGTTGTTCAAGGGCGCTGTAGGTGTGGCGATCAACTCACGACTGCTGCTGAGCTCGGAATAGTAATAGGGTGCGGATTTGTCAGAGATGTTGCTATTATTGCGACTGTGTATGGGTGTGTAGTACTTTGAATGATCTTGGTCGCCGGAGGTGGGTGTGAGGCAGCCCGCACCGGCAGCAGCGCCATCGCGTGTGTCGCCGCCTAGTCGTTGCAGCGAATCCGTGGACGACACGAAGCGTATGTTGCCGTAGAAATGCTCGTCGTCTTTGTTGCGGAATGTCTCCGGTGGTTTTATGAGTTTCGTCAGCAGTTCCGTGGAGCCTACGGTAAGTGGTGTGTCCAAGAGCGTGTTTTGGTACAGATACAAATCGTTCGATTGCAAATGGCTGAGATAAGTATCTAAGTCATGTGACAGTGTCTCTTCGAATTTTTCGCGTAAAGATTCAATCTCGCTAATGGATTCTTCGGACAGTGGACGACGGGAACGTTGTCGTTCTAATTCAGAGTCCGAGCCTTGACGATGACGAAACTCCACCGCCGAATCGGTTTCACTGCTGTCGCCAGTAGGTGGCGTGGCGTTTAGCATGTATTTCTGCGGCAAAGAACTATTCGATGGATAGCGTCCGGGCGACGCCACATATGAGGGTGAGTTTTGCTTCAGTTTATTATAGAAATCAAAGTCGGACGAGGTGTTGGAACTGTTGTCGGTTTGAAAACTGTAATTCGAGTCGGAGAGCGTGCGTTCGTGGTGCTTGAGTAGCGCAGCTGCATGTGGTTGCTTGAAATGTACGGCACTGCGTTGTTTCGAGAACTGATCCGGCAACGATAGACGACTACACTTCAAGGTCGATTCGGTTTTCTGTCTATTCAACGAAGTGTTGCTTGCGTGTAACTTCGGTAATTGGTCGTATGATAGGTTGATCTTCGTTACACTGCTGCTGCTGCTGTCGCGTCGCTTCACGGTATCATAATGCTCGGAAGAGAATATCTCTTCCGTTTTCAAGTCCTCCATTGGCGGCGGTGAGGCTGGTATAGGCGGGGGTGAAACTATTTCACTATCGGAGCTTTCGGCACAATCGGCCAGTGGTGTGGAGGCACCTAGATAATATGAGGCCGGACGGAAAGTGTCCGATAGACTGAAGCGTGTGCGTGAGCGCATCTTCTTGAGATCGTTATATTTTGTAGACTCGTCATCGGCGTCGGAACTATCTGATACGTGTGGCATTGTGCTCTGCGACTGCTTCAGTATATCGGGCAGATCTTTTCGCTTGCATTGTGCACGCTCTGCGCTGGACTTTTTCGCTTTCTTCTTCAATGTATCGGTGGCTTTTTTGTTCTTCTTCAATGTCGACCGACCGGATGAGCTGTGCAAGTCATCGGCCGGCAGTGGCGGTGGCAGTTGTTGCGCGTTACTTGCAGCTGCGGCGCTGCTCTGTGCGGCGGCTGTATGGATACCACTTTCGCTTATGCTGCTGGCTGCGCTTAGTTCCATATACACCGGCTCTGCTTGTATTTGCAGCTGCTTCGCATTGACAGCAGCGCTAGTTAGCGCTGGACCGGCGTGTGGATTTATGCACATAATCTCATAATTTGACCGGGAATCTTCATCCGGTATATTTTTACTCATTTCCACATAGGGGTTCTCCTCTTCAGTGGTGGAGTCATGCAGACTTATTAGCGTCAAATTGCCAGACTGTGCTAAATCACTCTTTTTCGGCGTCATTGGCAGATAGTGATTCTCATCGAAAGTCAGTGCGGCCATAAGGGGGGTGCGCGGCTCAGCCGCAATTATTGGCTTAAGATCAGGTTCAACCGTTACCGTTATGCCAGTATCCGTGACCGTATAGTCTTGCTGACTACTAGTGTGGGGTTTGTTATCTGTGGACATTGCTGTTTCATCTTCTGCGTTTGCTTCTTCAGCCAAAGCTTCGTCGAGATCATCGTCGGTATATTCCTCACCGACCGTGTCGTCGTCTTCATCTGTGCCTTCTCGTGTATTTTCAACAGTAGCAGTTGTGACAACTCTTGCATCACCCCCATCTATATTGAGCTCATCTTTCAGCTCACTGCTAAAATGTTCATCCACTACTGCCGTCTCTCCTCCAACCTGCAATTCTGCCGGCTGCACAACACTTTCCCTCGCTTGCTCATACATATCCTTCGTTTCTTTTTCCCTCACCGCCTTCAAGTTAGCCTCTTGTATTCTTTGATAAACTTGCAACTGCGCCAACATTGGTGTCTCCTGTTCATTTATTATCTGCATTGATGACATTGTCTCTTTCGCTTGTACGAGTTCGTGTGCGCGTTCAACAGTGTCATTCGCCACCACACGCTTAACATTACCGGCATCATAATTATATGTAGTGTCTGCGGTTTCCTGCTCCTCATCATCAGTGGCCGCTTGTCGCTCTTCCAACTGCAGCTCTACTTCATCCGTCATCTCGACGGCGTGCTGCCCGCTCCCCTCTTCGCTGCTCTCAATTAATTGCACATTTTCATAAGTCTTCGATGGTGAGGGCGTTGGCGTCAGCGTCTTTGTGGTGTAGACAGGTGTGTATGTGGTAATTTGCGGTGATTTCGGCGCCGGTTTCTTGGGTAAGATGGGCACCTCCGGTGGCACCGCACCATTATCCTTAAGCGCCGCCATATTCAGTTGCAATTTCGCTTGTTGCGCCAACTTTCCGCTTTGGCTTTCACACGTCTCGTTGTGCTTTGCTCTATCTCCACTGTTCTTCAGTATGGGTTTCGGCGTAATTGGTGCTTTTGTTGCTGCGAAGATTGCTGTGTTGTTGTTTTTGTTATCGGTATCAGTTGGCGCTGTCACTGTCGCTATATCGCGTGCGTCCGTCTTGTCGCTAACTGTCTCTGTGCCGCGCAATAGGGTGCTCGTTTGTACTGTTGTTTGTGTTGTTGTTGGTATATGCGTTGTTGTGCCTGTATTCGTTTCGGCGTAGGTAATTGTTGACTTTGTTGTTGGATTGCTTCTATTACCACCATCAATGGCTGGGCCAACGGCCGCAGCTTGGCTTGACGCTTGGTTAATGGCACCAGCAACAGTGCCGACACCTGTCGCTAAACTAGTAATGGTAGCTAGAGTAGTAGTAGTGGTAGTGGTAGTAGTGACAACAGAGTTGCTAGTAGTGGTAGTGGTGTTTGTGGTTGTGGTGGTGGTGGACCTTCCTGCTGGCCTGCCGTTTGTGTTGTCTCCATCTGAGAGGGGTTTTTTGGGCACACAGCACGAACGATTTGTTGTACAATTTACAGTTTTAACGGTATTTTATTTATATTTATATATATATATTTTTTTGTTTTTGGTTTGTTGTGGTGATTTTTATTTTACAAAAATTACAATTTTTCAAATCAAAACCATACAAAAGGTTTTTATTTTTTGTTTTTGATTTTTGTACACGCAAAACAAAATACGAACAAAAAATATGGAAAAAGAGAGAAACAAAAAACGAATTCTTAATTAAACAAAGTTCAACAATGGATACTGAAAATATTTTGCAAATGTTGATGAATTTAGTGCGAATTTTTTTTATTTTAAACAATTTATTTGGTAAATAAATTAATTTCGTTTGTGGGTTAGATTGAAGGTGAAAATGCTTTGCAGCCAATAGTGAGTACAGTTAGCCACTTTGAGTGCACCAATTAACCCAGTTTCAACATTTTTAACAAGTAAAAAAGGAAATCTACTGAAAAAGGAGGTGGAAAGTGAAAAGCAAAAAGAAAAATAGAAAACTTAATTACGTACAAAGTTTAAAGAAAGGCTATTTTAAAAGTGTATATATAAGAAAAAAACGCTTTAGTGATTGAAAGAAGTGAAAGCTGTCTCTTATACACATCTAGATGTGTATAAGAGATTTGTTGTACAATTTACAGTTTTAACGGTATTTTATTTATATTTATATATATATATCTGTCTCTTATACACATCTAGATGTGTATAAGAGACAGATGTACGTGTACTTGTAAAGCCGCAAGGCAACCACCAACCACAAAACACAAAAATCATAAATAAAAAAAATTTTAGAAATGTTACTAAATAAGAAAAAAAATTAAAATTAAAAAAATTTTAAAATTAAAAAAAATACGCAAAAAAATTTTAAAATAAATAAATCAATATATTTGAGAACTAAAAGATCAATAAAATTATAACAAAAAGTGTGTAAAAAATAAAAAAAAATTAAACAAGTAAATATATTTGAGAAATAAAATGTATGTGAAAAAATTAAAAAATATTCTATAAGAAATTCTAAAAAACTATAAAAAATTATCTACAATAATTCTAAAAATTTTTAAAAATTAAAAGAAAAAAATACAACCGCTACATAAGCCAACGGCGTAGCAAGCACAAATCTAAAGAGCAAAAAAATGGAAATAAAAATTGCGCCGGCCGCACAACTCTTTAGTAGCTCCTCACAGCAGCTGTGTGTGTGCTTTTTACATTTGCAAGGCAAATATGTGCAAGCGAGAAACTGTTATATTAACCTAAATTTATGTGCATGCATATGTGCTTGTAATCATGCCACAAAAAAATAATAAAAACCAAAAGCATACACAACTACATGCATAATTGTGGCGCCACAGTTTGTAGCTCGTGGCAAAAAAAAAAAACACAAATACAACTTAAATAAATTTTCAATGCAAATACTACAACAAATATGTGTGTTGTAAAAATTAAAAATAACAATAATGGGAAACTACAACTGTTCTGTGAAACAAAAAATATTTAACTGCAGTTGCACCGTAACCACAATACCCTTCACATACTATAAAGAATCAGTTTGTAGTTTGATAGCTATTTGCCATTGTGGTGGGTAAGAAAATAATTAGTGAGTCGTCAAATAAAAATTGTTTTTCATACAATAACTTCATTTTGTTCTTTTAGTTTGTATGACAGTTACATGCTATAGTGTTTCGATCTGGAGGAAAAGGGCATTTATGAAATATCAGATTGTTACCTCAAAAACTGACAGACTTGAAAGACAGGCATTACTAAATCGATTCAGCTCATTACGGCGATAATTTTTGGCATATTAGTATGGGCAAAAAATAGTAAGACTTTGTTCATAATTTTAAAATTCTTAATTTTCACTTCAAAATCTTTGTYGTTCCCCTCAAAATAATTCCCTTTGCCGCAATACACTTGTGTCAATGTTTTACCAATCTTCAGTTGTTAAAGTTAGCCTACAATGCACCTAACGAGTTACCTTTAAGGTCTTCAATTGACTCAAAACGGTTTCCGCGGTCGATTGAGTTTGCTAAATAGCCAGAAAACACACGGAGCTAAATAAGGCCACTACGGTGGGTGCGGCACGATATTGGTTGAAAATTTTGTGAAAAACTCAGGGACAATCAATGCACTATGCGACGATGCATTATTGTGACGCAAAAACTGTGAGTTCTCGGGCCAAAATCTGGCTTCTTTTTATGAATAGCTTTGCGCAAAACCACACATAATACTCGAATAGTATTCCTTGTTGGCAGTTTAGCCGATCGGAAGAAATTCGGAGTGTACCACACCTCGATTATCGAAGAAAACTGTTAACATAACCCAAAAGTGCAGGTTTATAGGGTAACTCCTTCATGGTATAACAAACTTCGATATACCTTGTCCAGGTTATTAAAAAAACAGCTTTGCATGCTTTAAGGTTTGATATCCTGCACGGCAGGAGCACAGCCGCACGCCATCGCAAAAGTGACTGCGAGGAAAGCACGCAGGCACATGTTTTCGGTTGCAAATATATAGCAAATACATATGTACTATACACAGTTACTTGCATGCCACAATAAAGCCACTCTGCTAAATGCCAGTGACTTGATTCTTGCTTCAGGCTATGCTAGTCCCTACACCTTTATACATAACTGCCAGTTGTACTTAGTTACACATATCAGTTATATGCTACTGTATATCTGATATGTTTATATCCAGCATATATAATGCCGTTGTCATTATCGATGTTGAATTCCGTGCTGTTCTCATTGTCTATATTCACATGTCTTTGGGTTGTTAAAATACAGGAATTAATGTTAGTCCAATGTTGGTTGTTGCAACATATGGCGCTTTGGATAAATTTGTGTTTTTTATATGCGTGTGTAAATGTGTATACCATATTGTGTTCAAGAGAAAAAAAAAACACAATATTTCCTCCGACAAATGCCAGTCTAGCCGCATAAGACTGTGAAAGTTTGAGGTTAATGGTGAAAGATTAATAAAAGATTAAAGCTCTTTAAATTGAAGGTACGCTAAAAGAGAGCTAGTCAAACTGCTCTAAAGGAATATTTGATTGAGGACCAGTACTTCCAAAAATGTTAATATTTAATATAGAGATTCCTACAGTAGCTGTCAAAGTAAACCAGCAGTGTTTGACATTTATGTCCGGTATAATTTAAAAAATGCAATTGCAAAGACATACTAAAATTATATAGGAAATGTGGAAAGTTTTATTTAAAACTATCAACACTGTCTTAACGGCACCTGGAAAGGTTTCTGTTGATGTGGTTTGCAAGCTGAATATTTTATTGAACGGAAAAAATTCAAACTCTTTGGATTCCAAAGTAAATTCGCACATATTTCAGTTCGTATTCATTGAGGTACAATTATTTACAATAATTGATACTGCATATGGAGACAACGTTATCGTCAAAAATTGTAGTACATAGCAAAGAATTCGAAATATATATTTTTCATTATATAAAGGTGGATGTGGGACCAACCACAATACTGAGTTCCGGTTCTACCGTTCTGGTAGCAGCAGCGCGTCAGCCAGTATGTTCCCGATTACTTCTTTGTGGCCTGGCACCCAAAAGAGGTGCACTCGGTTGCAGACTGATAGGCTGTTCAACTATTCTATGCACTCATACACCAATAGCGATTCAAATTCGTAAGCTAAGATCGCTTTAAGTGTCGCTTGGCTAACGCTGAGTGTGGCAATATTTACATTCATTGCAATTCGTTGCGACTTAAAGCAGAAATTTCTGTTTGGATAATGGTCGGAAATCTTGTTATGAGTATGGTCGATATACATGGGTTGACAATGAAAGCAATGAGCGCCTACGCATCCAGTGGAAGGTCCAAGTAGATAGGATCCTGTATGCATGTGGAACTGGCGTGATCTCGTAAGGAATGAAGGCAATTGGCGTGGTTTTATGTTCTCAGCCCAGACCGACCAAGTTTGTAATGCCAAATAAGATGAAGAAGAAATGTGACAGTTGCAACTATGAACGGACAAAACATATCTATATCGGTCCTAGGTATACGATACTAGTTTTTTCTTAGAATAATTCAGTACTTGAAGTATTTCGAAACTTAGTATTTTCTGAAGTAAGTTCACATTAGCAAACGGTCTACTGTAATAATTATTAATCACAACTGCATTAGTATGAGTGTAATACCTACTTTAAACTTTCCCACTCAATTGCCACCCGATGAGTGGGTACAAGCGAAGTACAACAAACGGAAATGATACAAAATTTTGCCAGTCAACAACTCAACAAGAAGGATATATTAAGGGAATTTATTTTACAACCGCATCCTTATTATGTCATAGACAAGTTGAGCAAAAGTTTCGTACTTTTGAATATATTTACATATCTTCACATGCATGTGAGTGTGTGAGGTATGCCACCTATGCTTTTTATATGCAACTTTTTGAGGTTATGGTAGAAATTTCTTTTTGGTTGCAGGAAATAGTCAAATTCAGAGTCAGAGTAGCAAACAAATAAAAAGGGTAGAAATAAAAAAGGTTTTTTTCTTACCTTTATGCTTAACTTTTTGTAAATCTATTTATGTTGTTGCATAAGTGTGCAAAAAATTTAGTGAAGAATCAAAAGGAAAGCATTTGTCGTCATTTATTTCATAGCTTTGTGAATTGGTTGCTTCTGTTGGCGATTTTCAAGGTACTTTGATAGTCGACACGAATATTTTAACAAACCAAAATTAAACGGGGAGAATGCTTTAGAAGCTTCAAAAAATCGAATTTTTGTTTTGCTAAAAGCTTTTTTAAAATTATCTAAGAATATAACCCCGAAGTTGTAGATGGGATTTCGAAATATTGTCGAAGCTTAAAGGGAAATTGTGACAGAGCATCTAGCAGATGTATGTATGAACGCTTGGGCAGAAAGCGACAACTTGGACGCCCGATTTCTCGGTTTTTCATTTTTACGATTTTTCTTAATTATCGGGCAGGACAGAAAGAAGACTAAAC